AAGTGGGACAGTGTCTGTGAAACTAGAGGATTTCAAAAGATAGGTAGGCAAATAAACATCTGAAAGTTCCCCTAACATCAAAATATATCAGCACGTCAAAAACTAAACTGACAAAATGATTAGACCAAAAGATTCCTTCTCTCTAACAAGTTCTTCTCCATGTGCCTAGGGGTGTGGGTTAAAATAAAATAATAATAATAATAATACAACAATACAAAACAAAGGTAAGCCTTCAAATGTGTGGTGATCCATTTGTAATTTAACAATTACAGAGAGGCTGAACCACATGTTTTTTTTAAAACACATAGATTAGACCAAAGTAATCCCTTCTAAAATACTCATGAAAATTGTATCAGACTTTCTATAGCCACTGGGAAAGAGAGAACACTTCTCCCAAGACTGGCATAATCCTTTCCCCAAGCCCTCTTACCTCATAGTTGTCTGTGAGGTTAAAGCCAACTGTGACGGTGGTTGCAGTAATAACTCCAGGACTCTCTTCCCAGGACTCAGTGGCTGCCTTTGTAGGTGTAGCTCGAGTTGGAATCTCATACTTGAGGGTGGCAGAAGGTAAATAAGATGTTAAATACAGAATTTTTGGGGTGTGCTGTTATATATTTGTTACTCTATATCTAGCAGTGAGTGCATGGTGGTGTACAATTTGTCCAGGAGTTAGAAATATGCCATCAGCCAAAAGCCAACCAGGGCAGTCATGGTGAAAGGAAAACACCAGGGCTAATGGAGCCCAGCACGTTAAAGGTTACAGCAACTAGAGCCAGCCATGCTTCTGAGCCAATAGGGTTTGGTTGGGGCGGAAATGTAAAATAATAAGCTACCATTCCCTAAAGCCTCCTAGCATTAAGGCAGCCAGGTTTCCTGGGGGCTCAAGCACTGGCATTCCAGAGGGTGGAGCCTGAGAGCTAAAGGCTACTTGCTAGCAGATATGGGGATAAAGTTTGGTAGGGCAGTTCCAGGTGCTACTAGCACCAGGTAAGGCAAGAGCATGGCTTTGCATAATGTCTGCAGGGAAGAGCCCAGTGGGCACAGAGGCAGTATGGACAGCAGAAGCTCTCAAGCCAAGCACAAAATAGTCTGTCACTTTCAACACTCTGAGATCTGCAACCTCCCCTGGAGACCCTGAAGGCTGGTGAAATTCAAAGCCAAACCTCAAGACACAGCGACTCTAACAGTTCTTGACCTCAGGCATATTCCATATCAGCAAAACCTGCATATCTGGAAATCTAAGTACAGCTGCTACATGAGGGGGAGGCAGAATCACTTCTGTGCATCTGCTTCACATGCCAGCTATGACTGCCCATCCTATGGATCACTGGTCACCCATAGTGTGATTTTTGCATGGGACTTAAGTGTATCAGTGAATGCTGGTTCACACTCAGTCAAATGAATAAACATGGCCGGTCCATTCTTACTCCTGCTGAGGCCCACTGCCATCAAGGAGCGAAAGAGGCTGCAGCAGAATGGAATAGCACATGTGATTTGTGGTGAATCTATCAGACTAGGCTGAAGCAATGGAAGAGAAAGAAACCAAGGCCATTCCATCAGCTCTGCTGAGAAATCTACTAGTTTTGGTCCCTCTTCTCCTTGAACTGTTTCCATTCCAACTCGTCATTATAAGAACTACTTTGTAACTTTGAGAATTCTGGTCCAAATTTGCTTTCCTCGCTGTTTCCTCCCCATCCTTTTGTGTTGCACCTTTCAGGTTGTAAGTCTGCAAGCAGAGATTGTCTTGTTCACTATTGATTGATTATATGTAAGCTGCTCTAGGAATCTTTTCAGCTGGGGAACTGGATAAAAATGGTTTAATTAATTTATTCACCCAGTGTTTGACCTGAGAAAGCAGGAGGAAAAGAAAGGAAACAGGCCCCAAGAGCACTACTTACAAAGTGCACGCAGTCGCGTATTTCACCTCCCATGTATTTATTCCCTGGGAGTGTTTAAACTTTGGGTCATTATGAGGCATAAGTAAATAATCACAACAAATTATTTTAAAATGCACTGCTGTTACGCAATTTAATCTCAGACAGGTCCCAAAATTGGCCGGGGGGGGGGGAGGAGAGTAGAATTTTCCCTTCCAGCATCCTACATGCATTAGCTCCCCCCCACAACACCTGATATTCAGACCTCCAAAACAGTACTGCCACCTCTCCAACTCCAAGTCACAGTATGTCTTTATAGGTTTACACGAGCAGTTTTTAATTTGAATTAGTTGATTCTGGAATGACAAACAAGATTTGCAAGCCCTCTGGCAGGCTCAATGAGCTTTGCCAAGATGTCTCAAGATGAAGCAGGGTGTGATCTCTACATATGTGCCACAGCCTTTGTAAGACTAGGTGACCTTGCCAAAATCCAAATGATCCATTTTTGTTGACCATGCTAAATGGTGGTGGTGGGGATTGTGTAAAAGTATCCAATGCCTATTTGTGATCAACTGCCCGGCAGTCCTGAACTTTGCTCATAGACAAGCGTTTGGGGAATGGTGAAAGGGAGGGATAAGCCCACGTCAAGGCGAAAAGCAAGGGCAGGTGGGTGGCAGCTCTTTCCTGGGAAGAAGTTGGGAAAGGGAAGAGAGGGAAAGATGCTTTTTCTCTGCCAGTACTGAGCAGTCCAGCAGCTGGAGTTCTGATCCCAGAGGGAGGAACTCCTCCAACTGCTCCATTTGGCAGGAAAATGGTTCTCCCTGGCCAAACCAACAGTGACTCACTGGCAGGATGAGCTCAGCAGCCCCCTGACCCATATTTCACAAGTTTCTGGATACTGTCCTGACATAAAAGGGCCAGTAATGGAAGGAAGGAAGGAGGGCAGCAAAATGCAGGAAAAGAATACAATGGGCACAGGAAGACATACCTATGTCATAAGGATTGGATAGAGGGGAGGCATGATGCTCATTTCTCTCCCCTAAGCATGGTAGGGAGGAATCAAAGCTTTGGGGTTCTAACCGACCTGAAACACTTCTGTAGGCTGTTTCACACATGACAGAGTTGCAAACTCAGGTTTTCCACTCAGGAAGGAAACTGGAACTGCAGTGAATTCCACGAGGAGTGTCCTTGTTGTTGTACTCCAAAACTCCCATCAGCCCCAGCCAGCATGACCAATGACTAAGGCTGGTGGGAGTTACATCTGCAACAACATCTGCAGGGCCACAGGCTCCCCACCCCTAATATAGCAAATGAAAAGCTGGTCTAAGTTCAAGGGCAGACCAATAATTGATGATGTATCTCTTTTGACATTGTCATATTACACAGCCTTGATTTCTGAACATTTTTATTTTTGCAGCCAAGTACAAGGGATATGGGGGAAGCACTATAAAGAAAGGGACACAAAGAATATCAACACCATGTTCTGAATTAATCTGATATTCTTTATGTCTCTTTCCTTACTGCACTTTTTTCTATACTGTGTTGTATAAGTAAAACCTTTAGGAAATATACCTTAAAAAAATCCAGGCTGCCTAACAGGTCAGTGTCTTAAGAGATACTGATTACTAATTCAAAATATCAAGGTCCAAAGCAATCCATTTTCTTGAGCCTACATTTCTTTATTTACATTTCAACATGCCTGCCTTGTTAAAGGCCAGTATCATCACACCATGATGAAACCAGCCACAAATCTATGTGAACACTCTCTGTGATCTACCAAGAGGCTACTGTAGCTTCCCATCCATGCAAACGCCCTGCGTTACTCCAGTTTCCTGGGGAAATTTGGCTGATCAAGCTCATCGACTCACGGGCTCATCTCGACTTTGAAAATGACTGATGGTTGAACATCAGGAGAAGACCCATAGGAGACATGACCTGGCACACAGGTGAGGAGAATGTGTTCTCAGGCATGTAAACTCACCTGCGCGTCTGAAGAAAAAGCTTTGTGGCCAACTGGCACCAGTGGAATCAGAAGCATGGAGGTGAGCCCAGAACTCCCGGCTCTCCTAGAGTTCATGACCCCCGAGGCCAGCGGCTGCTGAACATGGTTTTCATGGTTGCCCCTGAGGGGCAGCAACATGTGGACAGAGGAGGCAAGCACTGAGCAGGCAGTTCTGCCTGAAGAACAGCTTGGAACAAAGCAGGAGAAAAGCTGCGAGTTAGGCAGGTTAGGCAGGACAGCTCAGTTAGGCGGGCAGAGGGTTAGGCCAGGAGAGGCTGTGTGTTATTAGGCCAGCAGAGGGCAGTTAGTTGCACTCTCTACCTGGCCGGGGGCCGGAGTGAGCGAGGACGTCTCCGGCGACTCCTTGTTCCTCTTCTTCTTGCCTCTCCCTTTCCTCTTGCCCTTGCCCTTTCTCTTGCCCTTGCCCTTCTTGCCCTTCCTGCGGGGAATGTTCTGCACAGGATTGGGGGGAGGGAGAAGACAGAAGAAGGGGAGGAAACAATGAAGGATGGGGGGAGGGAAAGAGAGAGAAAGCAGACACTTGAGAAAGAAGAGAGGCACTCCACTATTCCCATGGAACACCAAGAGATGCCACCCCCCACCCCCAGCCACCAGGAGCCCATTCCCAAGAGACAGGTAGGCAGAGGGGAACACGGCACACAGAAGAGAGACCCTTCACCCAATAGTCTAGCCCTTGCTTGCTTTGGGGCCAAGATGGCTCGATCCAGTAACAGTTTATACCTGTCCCTTCTGCCCACATACTCACGTTCTGCCTCCATTCCATCATGCCCAGGGCTCTGCTGGATGCCTTTGGGGTCAACCCCATTTTGCCCACTACATCCCACAGGCTGCAGAAGCAATCTCCATCAACCCCTGGACAATCCAGGCTCATGGCTGGCCCTATTAGCTGTGGGCTTACCAAACGGAACTAAAAGCAGTTCCTGCAAGAGGGGTTTCCACACAGAGTTCTGTTCCAACATAGGATCCAGGCAGAGCAGGGCACTGAGACCTTTCAGTAATTCCACAGGCAGCTGCAGAGTGATGGATGCCATTCTGATCATGATGGGAAGGGTGTAGCCTGGTTCTGGAGATCCACTTTCCCCAGACGACAGATTAATAACTCAGAATAGCTCAGCTGGTCAAGCATGAGACTCTTAATCTCAGGGTTGTGGGTTTGGGCCTCATTTTGGACAAATGATTCATGCATTGCAGGGGGTTGGACTAGATGACCCTCAGGGTGTCCCTTCCAACTCTACAGGTCTATGATTCTATTATCTCTCCCACATCCCTGAAGTTAGCAGGCTCTGCTCCGTGTTTTGACTGACATTTCAAAGCATGCTGCCATAACTCCCCCCAGTCAATTCCCCTGCCCTGCCCCCATGAACCCCCTTAAAAGGCCAGACTGCATGAATCCTTCCGTCCATTTAGTGATGCTTATATATGCTCATGCTTTGAAGCTGAGAGCCTGGGGATTTCCATAGTTGATAACACAAAAATATGTGGCTCTATATTTCCTGACCATGACCCCATCCCATACTGCTTCCAGCCCCACAACCCTTGTCAGTGTGTAATAAATGCAGAAGACAAGCAATATCTGGGGAATACATCAGAGGCCCCCACATTAAGCAGGTCCAGGTTTCAGCAAGGCATGATGATGTACAAAAAAAAAAAAAAAAGGCCAGTCTCCACATCTCTACCACAGGCTGAATATGCCTTTGCTGTAGCATTCCCAAGTCCTGGCATGGGCTTCTCCTAGCAGGACTCACTGGATGAATCCAGCTCTGTATGTGTATGAAGGCTTTCTGAATCAGCCTAGCATCTCTGGAATTCTGCCACCTCAAGTACCAATATTGTCCCTATGGAACCAGCAGTGCTGGCCCTGCCATTCACCAGAGTGAGGCAACTGCCTCAGAAAGCAGGTGCTGATGATGGAGGGGAGTCAGTTAGACTTAAAGTGGGAGCAAATCTTGACCTTTGAGAATGGGGGAGGGAAGCATCCATGGTACTGAGCAAGCCTAATACGTCACATAAGTCACATTCCATGGTCAGGAAAGGTCTTCTTCACTGACTAGGCCAGGGAGCATCGGCGGATGGGTGAATCTGCTGATTCAAATTTCTCATTGTTTCTTGCTTTTCAGATCTTAAGTTCAGTTCTCCACATTTCCATATCAGTTTGAGAATTATTCTCAAAAAAGGTTCATGAAAATTTAGCAGCATTTTAAGTGCAGATTTTTCCTACTACACACACTTTTGGATACAATTTCCCCTAACATAAAGCATTTTGTATGTTACATTCATCAATATAGACGTCTATATGCACACTTTACCTTAGTATATGCATTTCTGTACATTGCAGAATTCAGAAGAGGGTGGAGTTCACAGAATGGCTGTTCTACTATTCCAGAAAGTGTGAATTAAGTAGGCTTGCCTTTAAATGCTGACTTAATCAAACACCTCCCCCAGCCCTAGCTCCTATATAGGCCTCCAAATTTGGCTCAGCTCTGGGGTAATAGTCACAAATACAGGGAACCCCTGTACTTTGCTCTCCTACCTCTTCGGGATCCTGGGCGTGCAACACGTAGGTGAGCTGTCTGTCGCAATCAGGCATGTAATGCTGACAATAGTGGGCTGCAGCTGCTGGATCCGGCACAATCAGCAGCTGCTGGAGATCACCCTGAAAGGAAGACAGGAGTGGGGGAGTGAACACAGCATGTCAGAATCTTGTTGCAAACATGTGCCCATGTGTACAAACACACACACACACACACACACACACACACATACTGAAAGAACAGGCAGTCTTTGTCAGGGTGTATATGTTTGCATGTACCATCTGCCACATGTCTGTGTGTATGTTTCTACTGCAGTGAGAAGAGAGTGTGGTAAGACTGTGGAGACAATTAAATGAGACAAATGTGTATATTTTCTTGGACTGTCTCCTCCTACAACAACTAGTAACTGTGTTATATAACTTGACCTAAATGCTCAAAGCACTCTATGGGCATTCACTCAGTAATCTTTACAACAGCCTTCAAGATCAGAATAGCTACCCCTCTGTTACCAAATTGGGAGAGGGGAGCCTGAAGCCTTACTAGTTACAAAAGGTCACCCTGTGAGTTGGAACTTGGTGAGGTGGGAGAACCATTCCTGCTCTTAACCACAATACCACATCATCTCTTAGGAGGTGGTTGCTCTCTCTCTGCCATGCAAGGATAAGAACTCATAACTTTTCTCCCCAGAACTATGCTGTTTTTAGGTACCACACCTCACAGAACTCTAACCCAGATCCTCCCATTCCAGAAGCCACAGCTTCAGTCACTTAGCCAGCCCAAAGGATTGGCGAACGCTGATCTTCTCTATTGTTTGCTGCCCATGCAGGCACTCCCAGGCCTTGTCTGGTCCTCAGCCCAACCTTCAAATTGGCTAGAAGCCCTGTGTCCATCTGTCCAGATCAATTCAACCTTGGTCTTGGATATTTTCTTAGCAGGCCTCCTTGCCAGTGTTCATACAGAATTGGCTTCATGAATATCAGACTCTTCTTCCATTTGCCTGACTGCTGATCTCATCCTTTCCTAAATGGACTTTGTAAGGATACAGCACAACAATCCAACTAATCTCCTGTCCACTCTTCGATTCACTATCTCTGGACCATGCTCCAGACAGCAAACATTTAGGCAACACAGAACTTAGCACCCAGCCAATGATGGAGCCTGGCAAAGAGCTCTGTATAGTCTGAAAGTCTGCATACTCATATGCCAATGGAACTTAGAGTGCACTAAAAGAAGTCAATCGTCCCTTTTTCCCTTCTTTCTTTTTGTCTCTCTTGCCTGGGACCACAATGCCAACAGCACAGTATGCCAAATTGTTATGACTGTGCATGTACACAAACATGCTTTGAGTTGCAGCTGGACATGCCCCCCTCTCCCTCCACTGGGCCTGTGCGATCCCAGCCAGCCCTGGTGCACAAGCAACATATGCTCCCAATAAATCATCTCATAAAGTATGGCCATTGGGCCTGTTTCCAGCACAGCCCCCGGAACCGCCTGCTCCCACCTGCTCAGCTGGGACCCACAATTACTGTGCTCCCAACATTCATTTGGAGATGGAAAGGAAAAGAAATCGAGCAGCAAGATGAAGAGCACAGGGGAAGGGAGTGAATCATGGCCCAAGGGTCAGGTAGGGACAGAGAGGGCTGGATCAAGCAAAGGAAGCCCCTCGGTCAAAAAGGAAGTCACAGGGAGGGAGGAGCCGCCAGGACTGGGAGAGTGTCCAGATTCCCAGACACATAAACAAATAGAATCGCATATGCACACATACAGAGAGAGAGAACATCTGCATACCCAGCTTTGTAAAAATATACACTGAAGACCCTGTGAGTGCATATTTACTAAGGCACACTTGTAAAACACCTCCTAGCATTCTGTTCCCATTCACTGATGTCACAGCTCATTCAATCTACTTCCAGCCAAATTGCAGAGTATCACATTTTCATATACTACTGTCTAGCAAAAAGCATGCTGTGAACCCTCTGTGCATAACCCCCTCCCAGATTTATTCTGTGGGGAGAATAGCCAGTTAGGGTGGGCTTGGGGTTAGGGAGGGTTACAGGGATATCCAAGAATTTTAATCACCAAAATTGCATCACCAAAAGTCGAACAAGGAGACCCTACTCTCTCACACATTCAGGCCGGCTGCTTGCAGAAAGGTGGTTAATATTGCAAATGGGTCATTCAGATATTACAAACAGGGGGCTTTTTAGCAACAGAGGCTTTTAAAAAACCATTTTTTCCTTAGAAAGTATAAATTCTGAGTAAGCATCCCGAAACAGGCAGCGAACACATGCTGAGGAGCCTCGATTGGCCAAGGATCTCTGGCCTTCATCCACCACACATCCAGGGATGTGTACCTGCCCTTCATACTTTCTGTTTACTATGGAAAATGCCAGTGTTGCAGCCATGAGCATGATTGCTGTGCGGAGTGGTTTTAACTGAAGGGCTAGAGCAAGGAATGAGAGTCCCAGAGTCCCCTTTCACCTAGCTAGAATGGAATTTGACAGAAGGCAGAATAGTGACAGCTCGTGAAAGTATAGTTCCTGCACTTCTTGCCCTATTGTTCCTCTCAAGCCCACCCCTCACTGCAGGCTCCCTGGTGCCTTTGCCTGTTCTGCTTCAGGAGGATTAGCTGCATTCCTTGCTGGAGGTAGGAGAGAGGATTAGAGAAGTGTGACAGAACAGGCATACAATGTAGCTTTGGAGCATTCCTCCTGGTTCCTTACACACACACACACACACACAGTTTCAGTGAGCCCTCCCACCACATTGCTACCCAACAGACAGCTGCCCCACAGTCCAAAATGGCCACATCCAAACCTTCCAGGCACTCCGTCGCTGCCGCCCAACTCCCCAGAGGCTAATGGCTCTGGGCCAAGGTTTCCTGAGAGCCACTACAAGAAGTGCTTGTTCTTGGCCACCCCCAGGACCCGGCCTAGATGCCTTCAAAGACCTTCTGCCCTCTGACATTTTGTGCTTGGGGGAAGAATGTAGGAGGCGGCTGGGGTTTTCCTCTGCTTCTGGAGACCACTGGAAAAGGGCCAGCGTTGTCCCGCCCAGATTTGGGAATCCCTGGGGTGAGGTCGGGGATTTTCTCTTCTGATGAAAAACATCTGCAGCACTTGAAATATTATTATTATTATTATTATTATTATTATTATTCCCCACCCATCTGACTGGGTTTCCCCAATCAGTCTGGGCGGCTTACAGCATATCTAAAAGCATAATAAAAAAAAATCAAACATTAAAAATTTCCCAATACCAGGCTGCCTTCACATGTCTTCTAAAAGTTGTGTAATTCTTTAACTCCTTGACATCTGACAGGAGGGCGTTCCACAGGGAGGACGTCACTAACAAGAAGGCCCTCTGACTTCTTGGTTTTCCTTTTAAAACTTTATTTCCACTTCTGTTTGGAAAAGGTAAAATATATGGGCACTCATTCCACAAAAGTGCAGAATCTCCTCACTGCAGACAGATACGGCTTCCTCTTCTCTGCCTTCTCCTCATTCCTTCTTCCCCTACCCCTTTTAGGTTCCTGTTTCTGCCTATCCACAGTGGCTCACTTCGTGGGATGGAGGCACCTTAATGGCCTCCCAGCAGAAGTGTTGCTGCCATTTCCTGGGAGGAGGACGGGTGAAGCAACA